ATCAATGAATTTAGAACTGGAGCCCAAGGACTGACTGTGCCCCATTACAAAAACTTACATAAAATTAGACTGGTCTCYACAAAACAGAACTGTACCTTGTTTGCAAAAGTGCTTTATTTTACACACATTCACACTCACAAGAAATGCATGTTTATGAGAACAAAGATTTCCTCTCAAGCACGATGTTTATGGCGTGAAACAGGATGTTTCTAGCATGAGATTTTCTGATGCTGACTTGACAGCTTACTTGGTATGACTCTAAAAATGGTCACTAAAAACTTCTTTGCTGACTCGGGATTTAAAAAAGCATACAATAGAAAAGAATGAAACCTGGTGTCTAGAAATGGAGAAATTCTGCGACACAAAATGGCTAAAACTGAAAGGCAAAGCAGCACTCTCTTCATTTGTGAGTACAGGTTTTTGGGGAAAATAACATTCAGAAAATCAATGTGTGGTCAAAGATACCACATTTAAAAAACACATCTAATCCTGCATTGCCTTGGGAATTGCTGTTAAATATGAGATCAYACACATGGATTTTCAGTGTGCTTAATAAAACAAAGCTATTCTCTTCATCTAGCTAGATAAATTATTTTACTGTCATGATCATTTATGGCTGCATTTTAATCTGATTTGTAGCACCTATCAGTGCTAATAAAGAGAACAGCTGTTGGGGCCTTTTTGATTGTTTGTTTATTTGTTCTTCATTTTAATTTCAATTTAAAATACATCCACCCTGACTCTGGTGTACTTAAAAAATACCAGACCTTGGGGTTTTTTTTTTTTTTTTTTTTTTAAAAAAAAAAAAAAAAAAAAAAAAAAACAAGGCTATCCAGGCCTGTTTCTGACTACTGGATTTATATAGTTCTGGCATGATATTTATATAAGTAATACCAATGTAAATGCTATCCCCTGTTATTTAGCTACCAAATAGAAACTGTAGCCTAACAGTTCGATATAACATCTTTATTGGAAAGCCACAAAACACTCTCTTACACGTCGGCATTAAACACGTGTGGAATCGAAGCACTGCAGGTTCCCAGACACGGCTTCCCAGCCAGATGACTACCCTTTCRCTCCAGAACCGTTACCTTAAAAGCCCAAAGAGCGGCAGCTCCAGGCCTCGTTTCCATCCCCACGGACAACGAGAATTCCTGCTGCTCACAGTGCTTCCAGCTCCGAGCGTCCTTCCCGGGGCGTGCCCGGCTGGCCATGGCCCCCTCGCTTYGACTGCATGGGATAAGCCGGGGTGCAGCCCCGGGTTCAGGGACACCCCGTTTCACGGGAGGAATCTCTAGCTCCGTCGCTGTCCCCAGGAGCACCCAGCACCTCTGCGCTGAGCGGAGCTGCTCCTGCACCCAAGGAGCGGCGTTTGCTGCACGTGGAGCGGGAACGAAGCCGCTTCCCCGCTGGCCACACGACTCGGCACGGCTCCAATCAACACAGAGAAGGACAGGGAAGATAATGTGGGATTTTGCACACGGAAGACATTGGGAAGAGGTGCTACTTGTAAAGCACGGAGAGCAGCACACGCTGGCGCCGGGTAGAAGTCTCCGCAGCTTCTCTGAGAGGAGGGCACCCCCAGGGCCCCCAYGCCGGGAGCCTGGCAGGCGGCAGCGGCAGCGCCTTCCTTTCCGTTCCCTTCCTTTCCCGCAGCCTTTGCTTCGGCAGAAAGGTAAATCAAAGTTGCTGTGCATGGAAACATCTATAATATTGCTTGAAAACTGCAATAGTAACATTTTGGAGTCTGAAAGGATCGCATTTAAAATGATCATCTTTTTAATGAAAGATAAATCAAATTTGATAATTAGAAAAAAAAAATACAGGACTAACTGCCTGTGTTGTGTCTTTTTTTATAGTGAACCTCAGTACTTTTGTGTCATTTTAACCGAGCCACAGGAATGATGAGAACAACTRTAGCTAAGACAAACAGTGAAAACCTATTTAACTGATTGTTATTGTATTATTCTGTACATAGCAATGTACAGAAAATGCAGAGACGCTTTGAAATTCCAGTTCAAATAGTAGGAGGCCACTAGTGATGCTTTAGGGATGTGCTTTAAGGCAGCCAAAACACGGTGCTGCATTTTTAAATTCGATTCACCAGCACAAATAATAATATCATTTTCTTTCAATTCTGTGCTTTCCCTACATCTCCTGAAAGCAAAACACGTCTTGAACTTAGCAGAAAACTAGCAATTCAGGGGAAATATGGGCAGACAGCAAAACAGATTTTGCATTTGAATAGAAACGCGGCGAACAGGGAGCCAAGCAAGAGCCCTCTCGGTGCGACACGAAGATCTGGCCTGTGCACAGAGCACCGCTCCAACAGGCCCAGGCGCACGGTCCCGCAGAGGGACACGATCCCTCGTGTCTGTTCAAGAAGAACAGACAAAAACCGGCACTGAGGTTAAAGCAGAGGCTAAAGCTTCCCAAGCAGCCAGCTCGGGACACTCCAATTCACACGCTTTTCCTCCCTTAGAAACCACGGCCTCGGCAGCCCCTTCCCTTTGCGCTACCGTGTGGAAAGGACAAGGTTGTAACCAGCGACCCCGAACACTCCAGTTCTCAGCAGTGCTACRGGCCACCACAGCTATCCAGGTTCTTCTGCCTTTCGTGTTCCCGGCTGCATACTGACGTTCCCAGGAAGGTGGCTGGATCACGGTCACGGAAGGAGCACCCGCACCGGGAGGCCGGTTCAGGGCTGACTTGGGCGCTGTGGGGAGAGGCAGCTCCGGGCGCTCGGCCGGGCTGTGCCCCTCTCCACGGACCGGGCGCCACGCCAGGCTCCGGGCCCAYACAGGGACATTTCCCCTGGGACGCGTCCCCACTGGGCACGTTCGTCGCTGGCCTTTCACGGGGCTCCAAAGGAACCCGCAGAGCACCCAGGAGGCTGCGGCAAACGGGAAAGCCGGCCCGCAGACCCGCTCCCTGCCCCACACGTCACCCGCTCCAGCCTCCCGACAGGCGCAAAGCGACCCGAGCTCCTCTCCACCGCGACTGAATTAACACACGGCCAAAGAGAGAAATACTGTGAACATCCCAACGGCTTCTGCTGTTAGTCAAGGCACCCAGTTTTTTGTTAAGAAGACCTGGCTGTTATCTCAGTAAGACCTCTGATACAAGTTACAATAAAAACGTAAATCCGGTGCCCTTTCCCCAAATAACCCACAGCTGCCAATCAGAACTCCATTGGGATGTATATCTCCGCCCTTAAATTAAACCGAGGAATCTCATATACAGTTTGTTGAGAACAAATCACCTCTTCAACTTCATCTCAGTTTGGGGGATTCCTTCTATCTTCGGAATGCCCTCCGATGGTGAGAGGAAAGGTGCAACATGTTTAAAGGCTGGTGCTTCAGAGACAAGTCCTTTTAGTTGCATTCTTAATCTTACCACAAGCTTTCAGTCCTGAATTGTAAACACTTTGCTTGATTAGCAAAAGGCAATTATTATTCTTCCTTTTTTWAAAATATACATATATATGTATATAKAKAGAGAGAGAGAAAGAGGACTCAAAAACTCTTTTTTTTTCCCACTATGACAGTATGCAATAGCTGAAGTCTCTCTATTGCCTCTCAAAGTGATGCCTTAACTGTGCCAAACAGAACAGGAAACATTAGACCAGGGATTCAAATTAGCTGTCAAGAAACACCAGCATCAATCTGAATTAACAGCACAATCTGAAATGAATTCTCGGCCCCCTCTCGGCAATAGCAACAGTTTTACCCGTGTTGTAACAATATTTAAAATAGCTCTGCAACTTTGTTTCTTTACCCAGAGGACAACAGAAAACAAGGTTAAATGAAAAACTCAACACGTTTTTAAACAAGAGAAACTGTCTAAACTACTGACATTTTTCATCTTCATATTTTTAATCCAAAAGATTTGTACAGCATTTTTTTTAATAACTTACAGCATCAGAAGGAAAATAAATGCATAGCGTCGATACCTTAGAATACAACCTCCCCTTGTTGCGGAAGAGTTCAAAGTCATAAAGTGCTGTAGATAGGAACACACATCGGACAAATCATCTAGTAACTAACTTATTGTTCTAGTTTATTCAACAATATTCCAAGCTTAAGACATTAAATAAAAATCTCACAGACAATGGGTAGGACTAACAATGGCTTCGTTCTTTTTGTTATTTTCCTTTTTTTTCCTATTTCTTTTTTTTTTTTTTTTATTTTAAGAATGCTGAGACATATCCATTGAGCCAACTATCGCTTTATTTTGGATACCAAAAAAATTAAAAAAGAAGCTCGAAGGAAGAGACTAGCGCGCTGCCCTGGCCTCGGAAAAGCCGCATTAGGGGCGGAACCACCTGGATTCAGCCCTAGGGCCATGAGGGAGGAACCGGGATGTGGCTCCTGGTGGGAGCAGAGCTGGAGCCCTGGGTGCTCCATCTGCTCCATCCGCTCCGGTGTTTTCGGCTCGGGTGGGGTTTCTGCAAGGGGGGATCCGTGTGTCCCGGCCCGGTGGCCGGGCGGCTCCGCAGGGCCGGCAGCAGCGGCCGGAGGGGGCAGAAGGGGCAGAGCTGCCCCCACTGCCGCTCCCGGGGCATCCCAAGGGAGAGAGTTTCCCCAGCACCAGTGGGAACTCTAAGAACAGGAACAGGGAGCCGCTCTCCCTCCCGCGCCCGTGTGCGCTACCCTCCGAGGCCGGGCAAGAAAATCCAAGCTTTCCGGCGGCCAAATCAGCTCTGGAGCCCGTGTTTTCTTTTCCTGAGCTTGGACTTGCCAGACGGTTCACTGCTATTGTCTTCACTGCTCCTTTATCGTAAAGTTCATTCTTCCCTACCCGCATGTGCAGCACAAGAAGGTGAAGTAAAATGCAACCAAGCAGTTCGGCAATACAGCAGATTCCACCGCAATTCTCATTTTTCTGCGTTCCTTCTGCTTAGGCCCTTTCTATAACCAAACATTGGGGAAAACCAGATGACGACAGAACTTCTCCCACAGAAGAGTAATGACCAGTCTCCAAGAGCCGTCTCTCCCCAAACGTTGTGCTTAACGTAACCGTAGACACGTAACACAAACAGGCAAACCTGCTCTTAGGCTGTCGCACTGCCAGGACGCCTAAGACACGTTTGTGCTTAACAGTGTAACCCTTGAGACCGACGCAAATTTAAGTCAGTTCTTTGCAACTAAGAAGCGAATTTCACAAGTCTTCTAATTTAAAAATATCTTTAAGCCTTTAAAAACTAATAGGAAATACCATCATTTAAGTCATTTAATTCCATTCCAACCAGCTCTAGTTGGGAAATTTTTGAGAGAGGATAGACACAAATTATATACACAAAACCAAAAGGAAACCTTGATTACAGCTGGATAACAGCAAAACCCCTTTCCAGGCCTCCTGTGAAAACGCTGGCTGCCGCCCTGCCCTGTGCCCAGCATGAACTACCATGGCGCTCACGACCTGCGGCACTTTGCAGGAGTTGGGGGGTTCCGCTGAGCCCTCGGAAGGGTTGGAATTCCTGTGGGAATCCAGAAACAGGGGGAGCGGTTCCAGCGCATGCTGACTGACCGGGAGCGGTTCCCTAATGTTTGACTGGACCAGACCAAAGTCCAAACTACAAATTGAACCCAAAGAGTGACCRGAGGAAAACAAGTTTAAGTGCTAACACAATAAAGAAACACAATTTAAAGTGTCACTAAATATAGATGGGGAAATAGAGAGGTCCCCTCATTTAAACATATATACATAATATTAAAGCTACTTATTTTACTTTTCTGGTGAGCAAAATTCCCCAGCCACCTTGGGCAAAGTCCTCATTGAATTGAAAGGTAAATATAAAACACGCTAAAAGAGCCATTGCCCTTGGGGCTTTCCAGCTCCTCTTTCCATTCTTCCCTTCCCCAGGGCCCAAGCTCTGGGCTGTCCTGCGCCTCCCGGCGCTACCTGTGACCCCTGCACAGTGAGGGCAGCAAAGCGCAGCCGGGAGCCTGTGCCCTGCCAGGCTGCTCTCAGGAGGCTGCGACCAGGCCTGGCCTAGCCCGAAAGGGGCACTGCCCTTTAGCGGCTGGAGCTACGTGGCACGACCTGACTGAGGCGGAGGCAACAAGACCAGTTTGAAAGCATTTATAGCATCGACCCTGGGCTGGAAAGAAAATAAATGACCTCGGTGCAAACGCAGCCACGCTGCTGCAGCCTAGGCCAGCACGGCAGGGCCACTTAAAATGACAACACGTCGCTCTCCTAATTGGCACAGYTGCATTAGTTGATTTTTTCTAGCATAGACCAGGCCAAAGATATGAGGTAGTGAAAAAGAAAATCAGGCTCATTTTTTTTTTTTTAATCTATTCTATAGAATTGATACAGTCTAAAAATCCTTGCTGCTCTGATCTATGGATTTTAAAAATAATGTCATAAAGTCTGAAACRTAAAGCTGACATCCTAAGCCACAGTGGGCTTACATGTGGAGGAACATGAAGAGCTCCCTCACTTAGGGTCCTACTTGGGACAAATGTTTTGGTTGTAGAAAGCACATAAGCACGTGTTTGTGTCCCAGTGAAGGAAGCGGAAATGAAGCACATGGATAAGTGCTTTCTGAAATCTGGGCCACAGGCAGAAATCACGGTCTTGATAGAATTTATTTCCTCATTCATTTCAGTGCTGTTTAATCACAAGTCATTCATGTTTTAAGACAGTGGGAAAAACAGAGACAATGGAAGCTAAATTGAGTTTGTTACAACTGTTCAATATTTACAGCATCCGTAGCATCAAACAGAATTATTTTTGGTAACTTAAGACAAATACCTTTTTTTTTGTTGTTGTTGCTGTTATTGAATGTACCATGACAGCCTTGTTAAACAAACCCRCTGTCACGGATGTTAAAGAAGTTGTTGTTTACATTTACCGAGTCATTCAAATTAAAAATCTGCTCCTGTTCCAAGCCCCACTCCCCTTCGTCTTCATCTTCTGGCTCTGCCTCAGACCCATTGCGAGTGTTTTCGTACAAAAAGATCTGCTCATCCACGTGCGCCGGCGCTAGCCGGTTTCTCTTGGCGCTTACAACGTTAGCCGAGGAACCAAAGAGGCGCTCGGGAAAGACCCTTGTGGCCAGAATACACCAGTACTTCTGAAGAACCTTTGGTAGCACCGGGAAGAGCGCTAATCGATCAGACCACCACTTTAGGGGATCTTCATTCAAACCAAGGACCTTCTGGGACTTGAAGTTGCTCAGCTCCTCCACGATCTGCGCGTGCCATTCCTCCTGGTCTTCCACGCCTCCCGTCTGGCAGAAGATCTCTGCGAGCATGTTGTTGATCACGCTGGTCGGGGGCGGCGTGGAGGAGATGATTATTTTCTTCACGGGGGGCTCTTCGGAAACAGCGAAGAACTTCTCCTCAGTCCTAAAGGTATTCTCCTTGACTTTCTCCAAGAGGCTTTTTGCCTCTTCCACCACTCTGTTCTCAACCTGCTGGCGCTCAAAGGCCGAAAGAAAGGGTAGCTTTTTGTACCGAGGGTCCAGGAAAGTGGCGACGTTGAGGAACATGTCGATCTCGGGGGTGTGCTGGTAGGTGCTGGAGAGCTCTTTCGCTATCACCTCCTTGGCCATGCTGATCTCCTTCAGGTCATTCTCCTTGATGTTCAGGGTGGTGTTGAGAAGCATGTGGAGAAGCGGCTTCACCATGCTTATCGTCGGGTACTTGGAGGCAGACATCATCTCCGCCACCTGCTTGAAGGGCTGCAGGAGCTCCACGAGGCCCTCGATGGTATTCCACTCGCTGGCCTCCAGCATGAGGTGGTGGTTGTTGCTGTCTTCCACGAGCACGGCGGCGATCACAAACTGCTGCTCCTTCAGCCGCTGCAGCATGGCGAGCGTGCTGCCCCACCACGAGACACGGTCGCTCACGAGCATGCAGTGCAGGCTGTTCTGCTGCTTCTGCTTCTCGCTCAGCATGTACATGGCCACTGTGGACTGCTGGAAATACTCCACCAGCTTGCGGCACCTGGCAAGAAGGCCGCACAGCTTGGGGAGCTGAAAAGCCTGTTGTATTCCGGCATTGAAAGTGTGCCCCAAGCAGGGCATCTGCACTGGAATATCCAGGAGAGAACAAGCTTTCACAATGTCTTTGCCATAGTCCGTGGTAGCACCAAAGACTTTTGTATTGATCCCCCACTCGATGAAGGTTTCATAGAGGACTCGCGTAATAGTCTCGGCCGTGTTATCCTCGGGCACCTCGAAGGTCTTTAGGCACCGCGAGTTGACAGCCAAGCAGTTGGACGGGCTGCTGTTGAGGAAATGAACGGCCACCGTCACATACGACCTGTTCTGGTTCTCGCTCCGCCACATGTCCGTGGATATGCCGCACCACAGAACCTCCGTGAGCTCCTTSAGCACAATCTCCCTGATGGCATTGTATTTTTCGGGAATAGCTTTTGTACAGAAATACTTGCGGCTGGGAAGTTCATACCTGGGATCGGCGGTTCGCAGGAGGGCTTTGAAAGTGGGTTCGTCRACAATGGAGGCGGGGTACATGCCCTCGCAGATCAGGCTGATCACYGCGGCCGTCAGCTCCTGATGCTTTTTGTTCTCGTAATTCTGGTAGGTCTTCATAATTAGGTTGTCCTGAACAACCTGCTGCGACGACTCCGGCTTGATTTTTGAGAAGGCCGTAGCAAAGGCTTCCCTCATCTGCTCCGTGTTACTCTTCACAAACTCGCAGAATTCGTCGGGGTGATTCTTCTCCAGGTGGTAGGAAAGGTTGGACGTGTTTCCTGAATAGGCGATCTGGGCCATGCAAATGCGGCAGTAGATTTTCTTCCACTGTAATATGCATCCTTCYGCATTGGTGTCAAACCCAAAGTACTTCCACACTTTACTCTTTGCTCTCGGATGGGCCACTAACTTTAGGTCTGATGGGGAACCTTCTAAACTTTTATTCTCCATTGCTTCTTGGCCACCGCTCCACCTTTTGATCCTTCACTCATTAATGAGTACCTGATAAAGGCAGTAAGATAAAGATATAATGAGAAAGCACAAGTCTGACCACACTTAACTACGTGAAAACAGTGTTTCTGAGAATATACCAAGAAACCTACCTTACTAATTACATTTGCAAATTTAAAGATGAGATTTGCAGGAAGTGGGACCTACAAGCAGCCCATTAGAAGGTCAACAATTAAAAAGGCTTTTAATGCATCGCATTCTGCTGTGAAACTGAGCTAGAAGAGCTGAGAACATCTTGTTTCTAGATTTACAGAATTCTTGGTAGAGAAAGTGTCACAATCACCGCGGAGCTGATGTTATTGTCACACAACCAAGACTTTACTGGAGGATCTCCCTCTCCTCTGAGTTACAGTTAGAGTTGAGTCAACATCCTCCTGCCTAAGAGTTACTAAACTCCACTATAGCATTTGTTTCTAATGAAACCTGATACTGAAGGAGCAAAGGTTTTCTTGTCTGTTCGTTTTGAAAGAAGTTTGTTAGCTTGATTCAGCCGTGCTGGGGTTTGTTGTTGTTTTTAATTAAAAATACTTGTCATGCAAATCACGGCATTAATCCTGCTCCTCTGAAACTTAAAGATGTTTCTGACTGAAGGAAAAGGAAACAGCATTTGTACCTACATGCAGAGAAACAACCTGCATTTGAACCCTTTCCTGTCCTTCTCTTCCAGAATCAAAGCAACCTCCTGAACTACTGGATCCCAGTCTTGGTTCCTGGAATAACAGTGCATCATAATTACAGGAAAAAGCTAACAGCTAAGCGCTAATAATTGCTACTAAGCACAGCAGTTAAAAAATATTTTTTTKATTTCCTAAAAGACTAAAGCAGCCGGGGTGGGGGCAGGACGACGTCCTCGAGCAGAGCATGGTGATAAGGCAGGACTTGGCAATCTGCAACCAAACATCTGCACAGGGAAGTGCTTCCCGAGCAAGACGGGAGGCACGAGCGGCATCTGCGGCCTGCAGTGTCCCCGGCTCTGGCGCAGGGAGCCACGGGCCAGCGTTCACTTCTCTGCACCAAGAAGCCAAGGAAAACAGGCCTGAGCTTCTCCAAGGCTTCTCCAGTCCCTTCCATGACACCAGCCCAGGTGCAGGGAAGGGYGCAGGGAGCCCCTCAGGCGCTCGGCCAGGRGCAGGAGCTGGAGCAGGAGCTGGAGGGAGCAGGAAACCCCGGGCCAAATGCTGCTGTGACATTAACCCCACTGGGAGAGMGGAACCGAAACTGAAACAGGGTTCGTGGGGCCCCTGGTAGAGCAGCGGGTGCTCTGCTTGTCAGGGGCTGCGAGTGCTGGAAAAACCTGGGTGAAACACTGGCTGGGAGCAGGAGAGGAAGGAACCGGCTTCTTCAGACTTGCTGCGGGGGAATGGGAATGTCCCGCAGAACTGGACGCGTGAAAGTTTTTCCCAGAGGGTTTTCTGCTGCTGAGGAGCATTATGAAAAGGTCCCCCGGAACTATCACAGATCGTTTGTGGAATTGTGTGAGTTTCTTGAATGAAAACAACAACAACAACAAAAGAGCCACAGATTTACTTAGATTAAGAATATTAATTTATCATGATTACGTACATTTATTTTAATAAATCTGAGTAAAACACATAGGCTAAGTATTTTACTCTTTTCAGTGTTTATATCTACAAATTTATTTTGGGGTGCAGATTTTTTTGGGGAAAAAAAAATATACATATATGAGGCCTAGTATGCCCTTGACTGTGATTCATTCAGTGGTTTTTAGTTGTCAGTAAAAACTAGTGATTCGATCTGGTAACGCTGCTTGCGTSCCAAGACGAGCGCATTGACAGCTCCATGGGCCGAGCTCTCACCCTAACYGAAGACTTTAAGGCACGAAGTGGCGCAGCACAGAGCAGCACAAACAACGTGGCCACAGCGGCCCGGCGGGCGCTGACGAGATACATCGTAGCAGGATGTATCACTGCTGCTCCTGGGTTCCTCCCTCCTAGGACTGAAAGTGTCTCCAGCACGTACTGAGGCTCCTGATACTTCACTGAACTTGATGGTTTCCTTTGCAATTACAGGGCAGTTCCTGGAAGTAAGCCAAAGGCACTTAGAAGAGAAACAAGAGAGAGAGAAAGAGAGAGGGGGAGAGAGAGAGAGAGAGAGAGCGCGCAGAAAAAAAAAAGAGAAATGGTGATGCACTTTTAATAGTTGGAATTAGGATGGCACGTCTTGGATCACAAGAAGTTCACCAAGGCCCGTTTCAGAGCAAGGGAGCACTACAGCCTCACCTCACCCTTCAGTCTCACACACATCACAGCTTTGCCATCATTTTTAGCTACGTTTTTAGCACTTCACAACAGTGGCACCCGGTAGCTCAGGATATGTCAGCATAACCTAGCCTTGATTTTAATGTTTAAAAACACTTTAACTGTCATAAATATAAACTACTACCTCAACACAGCCCACCTCTCCTCAAACATTATGGGGATGCTGTTAAAGGTGCAGCTGCTCATTTCCCCTGGGAAGGGTCAGTTCCTCCCCGCTGGGTGAAGCAAGGAGCTGTGAGCAAAACCAAGCACATCAGCCCCAGCAGGAGGCAGTTCCCATTGGGAAGGAAGCACCTCCTGCCCCTGGGAAGCGTGCAGCTCAGCTCCGTACTGGGGCAGCTGGCAGAAGTGCTCGCTCGCTCTCAGGGTGCCTAACTGGCCCCTGTAAACACCTAGTGCCACCACTGCCGGCTGAAAACCTTCTCGCAGACACCTTGGACCTTGGGCTACAAAACTGCCTTTCATTTCCTTTCCCTGTTTCTCTCTTTCTCTCTTGATTTACACCCACATTTAAATCTAGGGGTGCAAATGCTGAAAAGTTGCTACTTCCTTTGTCTCGCTCCTGCAGCCGGCCAAACCCACCGGCAAACAGAGCCGGGTCGGGACTGCCTGCAGGCTGAGGGAGAGCAGCCCTCCCTGCAGGGATCCCTGGCTCGGAGCTGGCCGAGAAAGAGGAGGCTCCTCCTGCTCCCCTCCAGCACCGGCTCCCTCTCCCAGCGCCGCTCTCCCGGCTGCCGGCCAGGGAAGGCGGCTCTCCTGATGGGCAAAGAGGGGAGGTAACAAATCCTCTGCGCAATCCGGCTTCCCCAGTACCAAAACCCCAACACTGTTCTGTAAACTACCTCTCTACGAACGCTGGCAGTTTCCACGGGCTGCCCGAGGGCGGCCTGGCTCTGAAGGGGAGCGCTGGGCGCTGGAAGGGCGGCGGGCRCAGCCTCCTCGCTCGCCAGCTCTGCCCCATGCGCAGACGCTGCCAGCCCCGTACCCGGCACCGCTTCCGCGGAGCCCCGGCCTCCCTCGCACAGGCAGCACGGGGGCTGCCCTTTCCCAACCAGAGAAAGCGCCGGAGGGAGCAGCTCGCTCCTGCACGGAGCAGCAGCCGCTCTAACCCAGGCGCATTTCTTGCCTGCCCTCAGTCCCTCCTGCTCGGGCAGCCCTTTGCTACGGCTGCAGCTCGGTGCTTTCCAGCCTGGCCTCCTCCCCGCTTTAAGCAGCAAGTGCTAAATCCGACATTATGCTTTAGTCACACAGATTAAAAGCCCTCAATGCAGGAATTAATAGATTCTCAAATACTTTCTACAAACTAAAATATCAATCAATTAGTTAGAAATTTGGTCAAATTAAAAATATATGTGAAGTTTAAGTCACTTTTAATACTAAGAGTCAGTTTAAGTTTCTACAAACTGCAGTCACACCACTACTCTCTTCAAAACCACTTCTCTACACATCATAGGTACAAATATAACTACTGAGACTACAAAGCATGCAACACTTAACTCTTTCCATTATGTACTTCAATAAAACAAAATAGACAGTAGAAGAAATACGCAGGAAGAAAAACCCCAACTCAATTCCATGAAAACTTCTAAAATACCAGAACTATGATTATTATTATGAGCATTTTTGCCATCAGTAAGATAACTTTCAGTGATGAGATTTCCCATGTATATATCCTGGTCTCATAAGAAAAACTAGTAATCTTTTAGGAATCCACTGATTAAGTTTTAGCTTGTCAAAAGCTGAAGATATCAAAATGCTTCTATACACAGGGCTTTTTTTTCCCCAAGTTAACTAAGATTAAGCATTGTAAAAATAAATAAATAAATAAATAAATAAATAATCTGCAACTTCTAATGAAACTATGTTTAGCCCACAGAACACTAATATAACTTACATTATATATCTGCAATTAATGTAATTGACACTTTAAAAAAAACGCTTTAACATACGTAGCCTCTTCCCTTTTGCTGCTGTGCAGTGATTTTATTTAATGATACAATCACCAATTGCAGCCCCTTTATCTTCCTGGCTTGAAGTTTCTCTCCTTGTGTTTCAAGATTCGGATTTCAGACAAGCTTCCCACCCTTCGCAGCCACTTCGTAGCACTGTGGGGTTGCACCTTCGTAGCACTGTGGGGTTGCACCTTCAGCTGAAGAGTTTTGTCTTTTCAGTTCATAGCCCAAAAGAAACACTGAATTTTCGCACCAACTGCAGGTTTCCAAGTTCAACCAGTCCTCCTTCCTAGATCAACTATCTTTAATCCCACCTGTAAAAAATAGGTGAACCTTTGCAGGATGTGACAACAGGCGTGCTCAAGCACACTGGGCCAGGAACATAAGACTTTGACCAAGTCTGGGGAAAGAAAAAGACCTAACTTGGGTTACTCTTGGAGACCCGGAGAGCCGCTCCGGCAGAGGTGGGAAGAGGAGCTTTCCCAGGGAAAAGCAGGGTGCTGGATCCCCTCCATCCCTGTGCCACTGGTCGCGCCAGGCACAGGAGGTGCGAGCCCTGGCTCCACTTGCACTTTCCATGCGGAATGGCACTCAGACACCCTATGGAGGCCAAGGAGACCGGCTCGGAGASGCAGATCAGCTCAGCCCCGTTCCTGCCTTCCAAGACCTCCCCGCTGGAAGAGACTATGAYGGCTAACACGGCAATAAAGTTGTGAGAGGCCATCGCTCAGGAAAAAGGCATCAGAACCTTTAATCTATGTATTTCAAAGCTTTCTAGGTTGTTGTCTTGAAAAGTAAG